AAAAATATTTCTAAACGACCTTTAAACCTTATAAGCTGTAACTTACTTCCAGTGCATCCAGGAAAAGCTTTTGATACTATCTGTTTTCTGACAAGTAGCATTGTAAAAAAAAAAACTATATATATATACTACTGGTTTTTCCTTGTACGTATCTCCAAATTAGGCTCTTTTATATATTTTTTGCGGTCTTGGTTTGTTGTGACCCTCAACAGTCAAATTATTTCAACACGTACTTGATAGTTGCAAGTGCAAGTTGCATGTGACAACACAACAAACATTTAGGTTTGAGCATGGTGGAATAATAACACCATGGGTTTGAGCTCAACTTGAGATTAAGTTGAGGACTAAACGCCCGTCCACACATGAATCAAAAACACAGATCACGTAAGAACGCGACGTTGTATTTGTAACTGGTTTTGAGAAAAAAGCTTGCGAAAGCGGGTTCGTCAGATGAGCGTTTGTTTACATCACAAGTACCACTATTTTACACTTTTATTCAAGTAAAGAAGAGTTAATTCAACATGACAACACATTTTAAAGCATTTTGTTGCATCATTTTACCTAAATTGTGCGTTTAAAGTGGCTGACAATAATTTTGGCTAATTTTGGTTTTCGTTGTTTTCTTTGCTTTGTTTACTTTTCGCTCGTTTTCCAGTGAAACAAGATGGCGTAGAACCCGCTAAAAATCGACTTTTCTCACTCTCTTGTTTTTACGTGATCTTGTGTCTTTCGTTCATTCCGTCCACATAGAACTTTGGCGTCGCGTTAGCGTTGGCGTCGTTTCAACAGCTGACTATGAATACATGAATTCAAATGCAGCCGTCCACATAGCCAAAATTCTACGACGCTCACGCCAACACAAAGCAAAAAGATGGCCAACTCTCAACTTTTCGCGTGCGTCGCTCGTCAGCTGTTGCGAATAAATAACATTATGTGAAATATTTTTCTTTCTAATCAAGTGCGGGCAAGAAATCTCGTTTTTAATGCAATTATTGACATGAAATATTAATTTATCTGTCGTTGTTATGTTAATTTAGTGGCCCAAGCATTCACTACCAAGCGTTCATTGTAGCAAGCATATTTTTAACGTGCGTTCTGTCAAACCAACGCCAATGCCAAAGCCAACGCGAAAGTTCCATGTGGACCGGTTTTAAGGTTTTTTCAAATCTCTAATTGGGTATCCCCAATAAACACCAAAAAAAAAATATTTCTCCAACCTTGGAGAAATTCATAGTTCTCAAGTTGATATCCAACATTATTCTCCAACTCATCTCTAACCGACGCGCAGATACGTAAAAAGCGATGGAGAAACGAACTTTTAATTATGAAGAAAAAAACTAAAGCTATATAAAGAGGAAAATCACCAACAAAAAGTAATAATCTTCAAAGTATAAATAATCTTGAAAGAAAATAAAACGCGAAGTGAATCAAGTGGTAAAACTATGTTCACATATCAATATTATCTCAATCAAAGCTCGTTTTTTAATCACCCCGTTTACACAGGCAAATCTCAGATTATTAGCCGTCAAATTTGTTGTGCTTGTTATTCTCACATCTCAACTAAAAGTTATATTTCTTCTCTGTGCCACCGTGATCACGTTTTTCTGCTATAATAAGCATTATAAATATATTTTAACTTAACATTTTATTAAAAATACCTTTACAAACCTCTTACTTGCTAGCGTACATTTTTGTTTACTTTTACATTTGGCATTTCTCCTCTCTTTCGCAAAAACAATCGATAAAACTAGGATGGACACCGAAAAGTTATCGGTTAAATCTGAGATTATTTTATAATTACAGATTAACAAGGGACGAATTTTATATGGCTAATCTCTTGTTATAATTACAGATTAGGGTGCTAAGCTCGAAAAAGAGGATAATCTACTTATATGTGAACCTAGTATAAAATTACTGTTGGACTGTTTACTGTAAAGTGAGTTATTGTAATACGATAGTGATTAACTACATATACAAAAGGAAAAATTAATATTAAAATTCCTCTATGTATGCCGTTTCAATCAAAAAGGTATAAAGTATTTTACTATTTCAATTTCAGTATTTCAATGATATGTTTGAAAGCAATTGGAAAATTATATTGGAGTTCAAGTTGAGAACTAGAATTTTTTAAATTTGAGAAACAGTCATTTCTTCATACAATGAAAAAAAAAACCTTTTTGTTGAGAACGCAATGATCCTCAGCTTGAGGTACTGTTGAGAAACAACGTTGGAGATTTGAGAAAACCCGTAGTTCTCTACTTAATTCCAAGTTGAGCTCAAACCTAACCGTCGAAGCAGAATTGCAGCGTACGGCGCAAAAAACTGCTGCGTACGTACGCTGTCAAAATAAAAAACCATTTGCACTTGGGAAAACGAACACAATTGGCAACGTAAGCGTAGCAGCGCAAAGCTGCCGTACGTCGGAGTAAATCGATTTCTATTTTCTACGCCACGTACGAGCGCACAGGGTTGCTTTAGAATGCCAAATGTCAATTACAAACCAAACATATGTACATACACAAACAGAAGTGGCAAAATTTGTTAAATTCTTAATTCATAATTATCGAAGATATTTAGGAAATGGATTTACATTTCAACGAAAAATTAATTGAAGAAGTGAGGAAGTATGGGTGCATATACGATTTGTCTGCAGCCGACTACAGGAACGTCTTCAAAAAAGACAAAATATGGACACAAATTGGAGTTGCACTAAATACAAAAGGTATAAAACTATATGTATATTAGAATATTATAATATATTAAACTGAGGCTCGGGCTGTCCAGACGAAGTGTGCAGGAAGCGGTGGAAAACGCTCCGCGATTCCTTCAAACAGCATATGCGAAATGAGAAGCTGACGACAGGCAGTGGAGCACCCGCTCCAAGCCAAAAGTGGAAGTACGCAGATAATATGTCTTTTTTTGAGAGAAGTTAGAGACTGCAGGCCGTGAGTATTGTTTTTTGTTTCCATTGATGGGGAAATTTATATGGAATATTAAATTTAACTAGAACAATTGGAACCAGAATGCAAAACGATGATGACAATACTGTTGCAGACCACTCTCAAACAGAAAAGTCTATAATTATAAATTAATTACCAGAAAAAATCTATATCATTTTCAAAAAGCTTAGGGCGATCGGTACCAATTATTGAAAAACCTTTACTACCTTCCTTTAGAAGAAGACTTAATATGAGAATATAGTACGTAGCACCCCACGCTTTTTGAAAATGATATAGATTTTTTCTGGTAATTAATTTATAATTATGTATATTAAATATTATTTTTGACTTTTTAGATCTATCTGCCATTAAAGCGTGTTTTCTAGTTTTTAAGCTATTATTTATTTATACTATATAGACTACAAAACTGCATACACAAACAAGTTTTAGAAATTCTGATTACAAAGTTTGAAATTTTGTAAAATATTTTTTTAAATTTTAGGTAATTTTGTGAATTATGTACAACGTTTTAAC